TATATATATACCGACCTATTATATATAGACATCAAAAAGCCTTATTTTTCAATGCTCACCTCAGGCCGTATCAAAGCATGAGATTCGATAACTTCAACATGGAGTCGAGGTAGCCGTACGTAGAAAGCTCTCAATCCAGACAACCTGTTTCTACCACATCACCCTTGCAAACCGTTATATCGACTATAGCGTTAATCTACGTTTATGCACTAGCTCAATTAGCTATGTAAATATAGAGTGCTTATCAACCGCTACTTTCCCAATCGACTGTTGGCAGAATATAAAGTACACGCATAGGGAAGAATCTATCAATAACACAGTCGCTACAAATTATATGCCTCTGTGGTCTAAATGTCAATGTTCAGTTGTGAAATATATTTATCCGGTGCTTAAATCTGGTCTACACCCGCATTCTCGTATATACACATATTGACCATATAGATAATTCTGATACATATACATGAGATCTAATCTCAGAACATCATATCTATCATACTAGCTTTAGATCACTATGACAACAAAAGCAACCTAGGTTGGCCCCGGTCAGGACTGTATTGCCTATGATAACGGGTCAGCACCTTCTCGTGGAACTGAGATCTATTGGGTGCAACGAGCTAATAAAGAATTACAAGGTAAACCACCCATCGGGGAGTAGTTCCGCCCCGAGTCTTCAACTGTTTAGAAGTAGACTGACTGAGATCTTATTTCGAAAACAACATCGAAAAACCCAACACGACTATGATTTTACCGCCCATGACACCACTAAGCCGTAGATTTCTTCGTTTGTTGGCACCAGAGATGTAGTAGATGAAAAGGTTATCGGAGTTTTGCGTCTGGGTGCGGACGGTATCCGACAAAGTCATTGTCTATAATATATCACCTTCTATTATATATATTATACAACACCCTACACATACCGCTGTGGTTGCCTCAGTCATGACCACATGTGGCTATGCTGCACCATCTCACTGTCCGCTAACACGACTTTAAGCGGACTCGCACCGAAGTCTATATCCAGTACACTATCACGAATAAACATGCCCGTGATCGCCTTTGATGTGTTTTAATACTTGTATCTGTGCTTTGCTGGCGTCTGATGTGTGATATACATTTGATTTCATTCTGAACGGCTGTATCCAAGTGAAGTCAAGATACTGTGTTTAAAACACCACCTTTACAAATACAGCTGCCATGGCCCTGACTTTTCATACGAGTGCCTGTGATTCTCGGTCACAGCCCGCTCTCCCGAATATGGCTTTGGTCTGCTCAACTGCAAACTCGGGTATATATTTAAAACATACACACTAACACAACTAAATAAAGGCTCGCATTGGTCAATAAGAATATCTGCTACTGACAACTTATAAACCAATCATCCCTATAATTGCCCCGCTGACGTCCATGCGTGCCTAGGCATCCCAGACCTTGCGCCAGAAACCATGATTCATATATTTTAATTATAAAAAAACCGTCGGTATCCGTAAGTATCATATATATCTATTTCTAGAAGACCATCACCAAAAATACTGCGGTGATAGCCCCGGCCATAACAGCTTGCGCCTGCGATTCACGCGCTGTACTAGCTCTCCTGGCCTGCCGTGCTTTGATTTCCGTTTGCGCTGCTTTGTCTGCCGCCGCTGCTGCGACCTCGTCTGATGAAGGCTGTGCACATAAGGTAAGCGTTCTATATTCATACTATCTATTTATAGCTTATTCCTATATTTAGACTTCTAGTTCAAGAATATTCGATATTCGGGTTCGTAGTGTTACTCCATTAATTGGTATTCTGTGTTTGTAGGATTCTAGTCTCCCGGTAAAGATTGTGCACATCATGTATATAATATATTATTCTAACATGTATGTATTCTTATTAATTCAAAACTTAAGCTGTTTTCAGACATTCTAATATTAAATTGGGCCGTTTTCAGACATTCCAATGTCTTGTTTTCAAGCATCTAATATCAAATTGAGCTGATTTCCTAATATTAACGTGGGCTGCTTTCAGACAATCTAAAATTAAATTGGGCTGATTTCGGACATTATAACTAAAATGATGTTTTCCAACCCCACGCCGATCAAGCATTTCTACAGGATAAGTAGCAGGAGATAAGCTGGCCACCATGGACAACAGTCCAATACAGGGACGACCCACTCTACCAGTAACCATACCTTCATAAATATTTATTTCACTCAGTTGCCCACTCTATCAGAAACCATACATTCATAAACGTATATTTCACTTTAAACCCGTACACATGGGCATTACAATACATGTAAGCACTGAGTCAACTACCCAGTCCACCAGTACTAATTCGGGTTTAAACGTGAACGTCAGATTGTATCACAAACGTGCGCATCACATACTACCATTGTGCATATAGAGAAGCACCCTGTATTTTTATTATTATCCCCATCAACGTGTTTCACAGCCATGAAACGTATACGTATCCATAGGTATGCACACCTAAAAATACAGCTTAGCCTTTCACTCCACAAGTGTTCTTATACCTGCACGAACTCGTAAACACAACTCTGAGGGAGGTGGTGTACGGAAATTAAACTCAGGAACCTACCTTCATATTAAGCATAATAGCTTGGCGCTGCTTTCTCTTATCATTGTACGATACGTAAGCAGGGGCTGTCAACTGCTCTCCCCTGCCGGAGTAGAAATTGATAGATGTCAAGTGGTATCAATAGATAGAGATACAGTATTCATAGGCGTAGCATGAGGGTTTCAGGAGGGTTTGAAACCCTAAAACCCTATTGCGCCAGGCTGTGAGATGTCAAACAGTGCTAATTGAATACTCCCACAGTCATGGTGGCAGATGTGATGTATTCAACAAGTCACTATGACACATGTGGTTTCATATTGATGGGAATGATATCCACTCAGGCAGTGGAAATAAAAAAACCCTAAACCCTACACTAACCTACACGAGTACCCTACATGTTGAAACCGAACGTCGAACAATAGCTTATCACGCCAAGATGTGTTTATAACATTCTTGATATTTAGTCGCTAGGAAAATAGGTTCAATACGAAAGGTCCCGATATATGAACAAACTACTGCAAGACATACGCAATGGGTGGGCTACGAGAGAGCAATGCCCATATTGAGACCCCCAGAACTTACAGAAAAAAATATCAAAACACAACATACAATAGCAACTGACAGTCATATATATATATATAAATATTATATATATTATATATATACATACATATGTATATACATATAAATATATACATGTAGAAAGCAAAACGGTACACCGTACACTCGCACAGAGACTTTGTACACCTGTCACACACAGCGTCATCACATGTTGAAACTTGAGCAAGCGACACGGCGTCGTAAATTTTTAAAGCACATATTGCCAACGATTTGCAACGAGCACAGGATCCACACAGTCAAATGCGCACGCCGACGCGTATATCAAGCGATAGGGAATCGTGAACTAAAAACCGATATATATCAAATAAACGACATACGACTCTATATCGGCAATCTGCAACCTATCCGCGGCACACGTGTTTGTGGACTGAACCAGACTATACCCTTCGACGCATGAAAGGCAGACGTCTAGACTACACGTGGCACAGAGAGCTCCATGCAGAGACGCGCACTCTACGGTGTGCAAGTAGGGTGGCAATTAGTTGTAATATCAGAGTATACATAGGCAGATATATATAT